GTTTGTCATTGCTTGGCATTGCTTGGCATTGCTGGGAATTGTTGGACCTTGCTTGGCATTGTTTACCACTGCTTGGCATTGAATGGGCTTGCTTGGCATTGCTTGGCATTGCTTGGCATTGCTTGGCATTGCTTGGCATTGCTTGGCGTTGCTTGACGTTGCTTGGCATTGTTTGGCATTGCTTGGCATTGATTGGTATTCCTTTTTTATTCCCCTATCAAGAAGCCACTCAATAGGTCCCAGACGGCACGGCACAAAGCGGTCGTGCCTCGACACAAGTAGTTCAAACCCGGGCAACGATAGAGAGGCAGGACACCTCAAGCAGACCCACCAACTCTTTCACGCCGAAAGCATGCGAGTAAAGCGAGAAAACACAACAACGCTCCAAAAAAACGTCGACCACAAGGAGTATCAGGCACCCGCGCGAGCAGAGCTTCGGTGAAAACCACGCGAATCGCGCTGGACACCGGCCTGCAAATTGTAGGCCCTCAAAGAAAACAGCCTCGAACGAAGCTCGAGGGAAACCAAGAAGCGTCGGCGGCGCCAGCTGGCACTGTTGCTGGGCCGAACGAACACCGCGAGAACGAAGCGCACCGCCGAGCGGGATCTCCACCCTGGGCAAGGAACTTGTGGCGGCGAGAGACAGGCGAGCCTAAAAATTCTCGGTGGGCGCACTCTGGCCCCCCTACGTCGGGCAGAGCGAAGGGAGAGAAAGGCATCAACACAGGTAGCAAAGAGAGCATTAGCAGCAAGAGAGGCTGGAGTGAGAACGAAGCAGGGGGAGAGCCAGGGAACACCCTCAGGGAATGAAGGAGACGATGGTAGAAAAGGGCCAAGCCACTGAGCAAGAGATCGTAAAACCTAGAGACAGAGGCATAGTGAATGACGTCGCCGACGTCAGTCCCGCCAAACGAGCGTGGAATCTGGCAGACGTGTATGCGCGACGATCGATGACCCTCAGGGGCCTGACCAGGAAGTAAGGTTGACTTTTCTGAGCCACAGGGTAAGAGTTGAGCCAACAGCGACCAATCATAGTCTGCGACGCCGACGGGAACCATGCGCGAAGACGCTTGAGGAGGATCTCCCGGGGGCCTGCCTCACGAGCCTGAAGGGGCCAGACTGGACTTTCTCGTCATTGACACGGGGCCCACGCGGGGAAGCGAAGTACAAGCTGTGGAATCGACGCATGCAGAACAAGAAAGAGGATTGCTACCAACCAGAGATCCCCTTACCCACGACACATCCATCATCTTCCCGAACATCGTCTAAGTGAGCGATCGCAGCGGCAAAGCGTTCATGCTTTCAATATGTAACAAAAATACGTCGCTGTTGCTCGCACCTGCACGTCAGGAAATTCAAACGGCAAATGCAGGCCGGCAAGGTGGGCGCACAAAGCGCAGGAGAAACCATTCGCTGGACCAGCCGTGAGAAGCACAACCGATTCGCGGATAGGCATGACAAACACGCTCATAAGCCGCATGCAACTGCAGGACGAAAGAGTCGCACGTGACCTCAAACGCGAGAATAGATCACGTCAGCCCCAGTCCGATGGCGCGCGCACGCAGCGCCCGACGGCGGACCTTGTCGCGGGCCTCCCACCACGCGCGGAGCTCGGCCCCGCGGCCAATATGCACCCCAAGATTCTCACAGTTTCCAAGACCTGAATCCACTTCGGAGGACCGCGGAGCGCCCGAGTCGAGCCCCAGAGAAGAATGACGTCTGGGAGCCCACAACGCAGAGCCGACGCGTGCCAGAGTTCAAGAGAAGGCCAGCCGAAGTTTCGAAACGACCAGTCGAAACAACGATGGGGCCGAGGGAAACGGCAACGTCAAAGAGCCTGAAACAGAAGTCGCCGGCAGAAGGTCCTGTAAGTGACTGCGCGCATACACATGAGCCACCGAAAGACAGGTCAGCTGCAAAAACAATTCGCCGCGCGCCTCTCAAGCAACCCTGCTTCACCCCACTGCTCGCGGCAAACATAAAAACGCGCTGGTCGGCAAAGATAATTATGGCAGCGCTCTGGAAGTAGAGGAGAAAGAAGAACTTCAGCTTGGCGGGGTGGACTCGCACAAGGGAGGGGACGCGCAAGAGCGACGGGATAGCCAGAGACGGGAACACGACACTGATGTCGGTCAAAGAGAGGCAGGCCCGCACGCGGACCATGAGGTGCCGCCATAACCCCCAAGCTCCCGCCTCGACAAAATTGGAGGGCATACTCTTGCCCCGCATGCAGGTCTGCGCAGGGGCAACGCATCGCAGGGCGCTGCAAGAAATCAGGATGGCAAATTCCCCCACCGCGCTCAGCGGTCGGGCATGTTGATTGAGGCCCTTGGGATGCGGCAGAAAAAACTCTTCGGGCAGGGAACCTTCTCGGAAGGAAGGCCGCGAGGCTGCGGCGCACATCAAGCGGGCGCTCCGATGCCCCATGCCAGACGAGTGCAAGTAGAAATCGAAGAGAGCACGCGATGCTCCAGGCACTCGCCACGAGCTGCACGGGGCCCCACCCCCCCCCAGGCATGCCGCGAGAACGCGAGCGAACGCAGTCGACCCACCCCCCGCGAGATCGTTGCCATCAACGAGGAGATCATTTTTTTATTCCGGCCGGTAACGCTCGTTACCCGGGGGGGGGGGGGGGTCGTGCCCCCCGGGTAACGGTAACGCTTGGGCTGGGCGGGGTATGGCGAAGCAGGGGCGCTCTGCGATCGCCATAGTATGCGCGCGAGCAGCACTCTCTGCCTGAGAGCACCACAGTGGCTTGCGATTCGAGTACAAGCGCAAAGCCCGCCGCGTGGTCCCGGCACCACGCCCGCGCCCGCGCGCGCGACGACGATGATCGACGAGCGACGAGCGACGAGGTCGACGACGACGACGACGACGTTTGCCGCCTGTTTCGGCCTCCGGAGGCCGTTTTCGGGCGCCGTCGACGACGACGACGACGACGACGACGACGACGACGACGACGACGACGACGACGACGACGACGACGACGATTCGAGTACAAGCGCAAAGCCCGCAAGCACCAGCATCGCGCATGCGAGCGCCGCAATGGCCTGCGAGCGCCCACAGTGCGCCTGCGACCACCACACCACAGTGCGCATGCCTTCGGGCACCAGCATGTTGGAGGGGAAGACCGAGACCCCCCCCGCGTACGAGCGTTACCGTTACGGGGGGGGGGGGGGGGGGGGAGAGGCCCGGGTAACGAGCGTTACCCCCCAGAGGATAAAAAAACAATCTCGAGGAAGAGACCGAACGTTCTGCCGCACAAGCGGCCCAGCTTCACGCCACAGTGATGCACCGAGCGAGGAGAGGGGGAGAACGCCCAGGCCCAGCATCGACCGGGAACTTCGGCGAAGGCGTCGCCGGACAGGCGCGGTTTACCCCCGCAGTCGCGGGCGCGCACGACCTGGGCGCGGCAGCGAAAGCGACGCCAAGTGTCGCGATTCCGCTCGGGCACTGGATAATGGCGCAGTCAAAATGTTGCCGCAGAACAGGATGGCGCCTCAGAGCACGAGAGATGATCCACTCTTTCTGAAGACGCCAACCACGGAGAGCCAGGAGGGCCCAATCTGTTTCCCACGGGGAGGATACACCACATCGAATAACCCGCTCACAAGCCAGGCACGTGAATGTTTGACCAAACCAAGCTCCTCCAGGGACCCGAGGTCAAACAGCGACGCAGGATGGAGGCCTCCAGAGGCGCGTGGAAATAACCGCGGAGCGAAGTCCACTTCGGAGCGTTCAGCTTGTCCGAGGGGTGCGGGCAGGGCTCGATGGAGAAGGAGAGGGGGGCGCGGTCGCTCAGCATTTTGGGTTCCAGGAAGCCAAATTCATCAGCGCGGACTTCGAAATCACGAACGGCAGTCTGCGGGTGCCCTCGGCAAAGCTCAACGAGACTCGGAAACACGTGATCGAAAGGACAAGCATCCCCTGGAGACAAGCCCGAGCCGCCCCCCACCTGCCGGAGCTCGCCCTCAATGGCGAAGTTCAAATCTCAGAGAATGATGCGACGTCTGGCAGCACGGGCAAGCCAAGCGCGCCGAATGGCGGTACGAGCGCGGGAGTAGCTGGAGAGGGCGTCGCTGGCATTCGGCGCGCGAACGTTTAGGATGGCGAAAATCCTTTTGGGGCCCAAAAGATATGGTCTGGAGAGCCCGGCCAGGAATGAACTCGAAATGCTGGAATGCGGGGAAGAAGGAGGTGATGGACGGCCCAAGGGCAGCAACTTCACGCTGGCTTTCCTAAAACGGACTGCGACCCCTAGACTGACCTCCGGATGAAAAGCCCAGCTCGCGACGCAGCTCCTCGACGTCGCCGATGCGACCGCGGGCCCCCTGACAACGAGTTGTCTGAAACTTCGAAACAAAATGGACTTTCACGCCAGCTGGCATTCGAGACAGCAATGGCAAGGCCGCGAGATTTCCACGAGCAGGCCGTGAACTCACAGACCGGGAAGAAGGGAAGACAGTCGGAGGGGAGAATGGATTGCAAACCAACATCAGTGCTGCGAGACAAAGGTCGCGAGGGTACAGAGCGAACTCCTTCCATGTCCAAAGGGCAGGCGAAATGTCACTTCGCTGCGGCGCGAATCTCGCCGCAATGGGCACCCAGGTTGGATTGGGCGATGCCGTGCTCGTCCAGCTCGACGGTGGCATCTGTGGAGCCCTCGATCAAGTTCAGCTGCGCGATGGGGACAAGATCTTCGGGTCCGCGGGCGGCGTAGACGAGACCGCCCAAACCGTTGCTGGAGACCTGGATGCCCTTCGGGGCAATAACGCGAGTGACCAGTGGCCTGACATGGCCCATGGACAAGAAGAGTTGGCGACTCGCAGTGGTCGAGCCCCCCTTGATGCCAAGCTGGAGAGGCGTGCCTGGGATAAGCGATCGGGGATCGATAGATGCCCATCTTCGGATAGCTGGCAAGGAAGTCGGAGGTGTCGACGGCCCTCTCGAAGTCAATGGTGATCTTCTTCGACCTGTCCAAGGCCTCCAATGTGATCTTGTTAGTTGCATGGGAAGGCGCATTGCCGGGAGGGAACGGATTCGCCGATTGTGCGAAGCGTGGGCTGGAGCATCTTCTTAAGGAAGCCGAGGACGATGAGCTTGTAGGTGTCGTCGAACGCTGTGTCCAGGCTGACGGAGGCGGAGGAGCGAAAGGCGACCGACGAGGGCGGCGTAGACAATGTCTTCTGGCGCCCCTCCATGTTACGAATTTGGGCCTCGCCATGTTGTGAAGGGCGATCGTCGCCATCAGCGTCCACGGCGAAGGCTGGAGTGGCCGTCCCACTTACAAGACGGCTGTCCACATCCATGCGCAACTCGGTGCGAAGGTCAGGGATATGTCCATCGATGTTCGACCAGGCCGCGGACGATCGGCCATCGAGCGCCTCAAAGCGCCCCTCGGTTTGGCGAACTAGGCCCACCATCTGGAAGCGCAGGTCGACGCAGCACTGCACGTTGGCATGGGTCTGGTTCCTGATCAGAGAGACGTCGTAGGCAGAGACAGTCAGTTGCTGGCTGAACCCGGTGGCGGAACGCAGCAGTTCGTCGAGATTGTCGTCTGACGACCTTGAGCTCGGCAGGGGTCGCGTGCGACGGCGGCTCCTGCAGACCAATGCACTCCTGCTCGAAAAGGGAGCTATCGTCACTGCGGTGGCTGTCCGCGCTCGAATCACGACGGCGCTCACGGCGCTCGGGCATGGCGCGCGGCTAGAGGAGAGAGGCGAGCAGAGCACAGGGACTCAGTGGACGAGTGGAGGCGGTGGCGCCTTCCTACCCTCAAGTGGCCGAATAGGAAATTGGCCCAAGCAGGTACTTGTGTCAAGGGCCACACCCCACGGGCCCAGAAACACGCTGCCCCAGCCAGCTGCCTCGATTGATGGCTTACTTGAACCAAAATGGCTACGGAATGGCACTGCTTGGTATTCCTTGGAATCCCACCAGCCCTCTGGGCGCAGGTGGTCTAACGAGATTCCTCTTCCCTCTTCCAAACCCCCCCCCACTCTTCCCCTACGGGGAGGGGTTTGCCCTTCCCCTTACCCCTCCCCTGTGCTTTTTCTGGGGCCCCGCGAAGTGCCAGGGCGTCCAAAACTGCCTCGGCGAGGAAGCCAAAATCAGTTGTTGTACTTGGGTTTTGGCCCAATGTTGGCCTATTTGGGGGGGGGGCTGAACGTTGGGCGACCAGCCCTCTGGGCGCCAAAATCACTGGTGTTACCAAGGTGTTGGCCCCATGTTGGCCTCCCGCAGGGGCCTTCAATCAAAATTTCACAGCGATGTTCAATTATAGATGTGATAAAACTCGGGCACCCCTAGATTTCAGAAATTAGCTGAGAACCCTAGATCGTGCCAGAAAACCAATTCTGGGACTTCAACGCCGCGAGCCAACGCGACTGTTGCAGCCTGACAATCCTGACCCGCGCCAGAATGCCACTCCTGGAACTCAACACCGCGAAACCACTCGACTGTTGCGTCCTGACAACCGTACATCGCACCAGAACACGATTCCTGGGACTTCAACCCTACGGATTCTTCAAATTGCTGCCAACCTTGACAACATATCTGCGCGGCGCGAATGCAAGAGCCACATTCTGAAAAGGGGCTGGGCTCCATCCTTGAAACTGCTGCCAACTTGTGAAACAAATGTGTGCGGCGCTAGATCGAGAGATCCACGTTGAACACGTCCCGCCCTCCTTCCCTGAAGCTGGTACAAATCAAGGCTCAGGAGCATAAGTGGTCAGGAAATCTCAGGCGAAACGCCCGGCCTGCGGACACGCCGGGGGGTGTCACAGGGAGGAGATGTGCATCAGGAACAGGGGATGGAGGAGGAGGAACGGGAGGAGGGGGAGGGGGGTGGAGCGAGAGGAGAAGCAAGAGGGAGGAGCATGGGGAGGAGCGAGGAGCGAGGAGGGGAGCCCTGCAGAGGCGGGGAGGCTGGCACTTTTCTGCCTCGAAGCAGAACGACGGTACGGCCAACCTCATAACACGCCCGCCGGCCGAACAAGGCCCCGGCAACGTGGCGTGCCGACGCGCGCGGGCGATGCCTGAAAGGTGAGCCCTGGCAGCCACCTCCTCCTCCTCCTCCTCCTCCTCCTCCTCCTCCTCCTCCGCCTCCTTGTCCTCCCCCCCTTCCTCCACGGT